TGTATCAGGTTTTAATTTTTATGTTTTCTTTATAAAGAAAGGCCTTTCTTGAATCTTGCTTCGCCACGAATGGGCTGGCTCAACCGAAGTGATATCAAGACTCTAAAAACTGGCGTGAAACAACTGAAGCGTTTTGTTTCGACATGTGAATGAGGTTACCGGGGAGACCCAATTCCTCTCCTTTCAAAGATCAGCAACGCACTTGTAACAGTTGTAACTATTCCGGTGTTGCGATTGATTGCTTACCATCAGGTGATCCGTCGGCTCGCAGATAAAAATGCAACTGTACCCTGCATTGATCAACCGACAACCTGTTTCCTTATGTAAGCGCTCATTGTCGTGATAATTATAATGACTAAACCTTAGTATTGTATTAAAAAATCATAAAATTGAATTACCCGACTGCAAGAAAAAGTATCATTGAGCTGTTAGTTTTTCAATAGTCTCGGTGATAGTATGAAGTTTGGTATGGTGCCTGATATTATGGTGATTGGCAGACCACCTATATAACACGGGACGCATAACATAATTGGTGATAAGTGGGTGTTACATTTAATATGTCTTCATCATCATCGTCCTTCTTCGAGAGGGAGTGTCAGTCAGACTCTTACTGACTAAAAACCACCCCGTTCCTACTCCTGCACTTCGAGCCGGAGCCCTGGCAACCCGTTAAGTCCTCCGCGGCTCCGTATCGGCATCATCCCTATTAGATGGTGGTGGTCTGATGGCTCTATGAGGCGCGAGCGGAAATCGATAAAGGCGTAATGTTATGAGTTCATTCAATTGTAATACTTTTTAACCGACTTGTAAAACGAGGTTCTCAGTTTGACCTTTATGTATGTTTGTGCGCTATTATCGTGCGATTGGCACAACCGATTTTGATACGGTTTTCAGAAAAGTGTTTGTTACACTTAGGAGAAGGTTTAAGTATATAATTAACCGACTTCAAACAAGGACGGAGATTCAAGTTGGTTTTTTTAAACGGAGTTTATAAAGCACACTTCAACTCCTCTTTTTCAAGCAGTCGGGTAGAAGCGAATACGTTATTAGATAATGTACTCCATATGTATTAGATTTTGAATCTAAAATAAATATAATAAAAATGTATGTTAGTGTACTGTTTGTTGATTTCAAGATTATATAAAATGTTATGTGAACCTTGTCCTGTCTGTTAAGGCATTTTCGTACGTAATTGATTGACGAGGTGACTCGATTAGTTTCCAGCTGAACTAGGGGCTCATATTCATCAATCACACGACGCGTTGAGCGTCGCTTGAGTTTAAACATAATTTTTTATATCCTTTTCACAGGGATATGGGTTCATATAACATATTATATGTATGTAGTTTATATAATGAACTATAATAAAAAAAACACGAAGAAAAACTTTTTCCATCTCTTGCACTCGTCATAGTGTGACAGAGATAGGTAATACTGAAACTTTACGGCTATTTCTTTGTATAAGCTTGATGTTATTTTGTAAACTATATTTTATTTCGCCTATGTTAACGTATTATTCATCACATTGTAAAATATACAAGTTTAGTACGAAATATGGGTAATAAATGATAAAATATTAAAGCAAAACGAATTGGAAACGTCATTTTTGTATGTCAAATTGTTTTAACAATACCTACCCTACCTAAATAACGTCTATTTAGGTCTCTTTGTCATGATCAGTCTGTTCCACTCCTGCATAAAGGCCTCAAAGGAGTATCTTATCGTCTAGCTTGATCGGGGCTTGGTCGCCACCCTCGACCCTCGGCCGCCATCTTGTGACCAGTTATCATGGTCCCGCTTTCTGTGATCTTTCCGTAAATTTAACAGCCAGTTTATACTGGATTTTCGTCAAAATCACGTCGTTCGTTTAATACCCATGCTTCCTATTAAAATTTGTAAAAAAAACATATAAATTGACATGTATTACTTTTTAAACTTGCCCGTTTTAGTAACACACGTATTTGGGCTTAGTATTATATATTGTACTGATTAAAAAGTATTGGTTGCGTATTGTATTGTAAATGTTTTATTTCGACTATTGTAATAGTAGGACAGGTTGGGTAAACGGTTTTTGCAACTTAAAAATCTGATGTGAGCAAGAAAAAGGCATATCAAGGTCTCTTTTTAACAATTTCGATATGGTTCGGAACGTATTCACCTCATTTGTATGTAATGTAATGTCTCGAAGGTATATACAGTTTTCGAGGAAAGCTCAACTAGTTTCAAGCGGCACCTGGACTCGTATTCATGAGTAACATGACTTGCAACTACGTGAGCTTTTTTGCGAAATGTTTTTTTATGTAACCGATACTGTATATCATTATAATATATTTCAATTAATTTAGTATAACATGTGCCACGTTACGTTTAACCAAGTTGTCCTACTGTTTGAACAAAGCGTTGTTAATTTGTTAAGCAAAGAGATTAAAATGATGATTTTATTGATTGATCTTTTTAATTATTTCCACTTCATTATTTATTCTATTCTATCAGAATTGCGGGAAGCTAGTAAATGCAGGTGGCGAGTTGTCGTTCGACGTCGAGGACTAGGGGAAGCATCTGTCCAGCAGAGGACGTTTTCCGGCTGTTGTTGACAATGTTTCTGATGTTCAAACTAACTTGCTAAAACTTTAACAGCTTATGACAGTCCATTGCTGGACTATAAGTCTCCTCTATATAAATGAGGTGGGCCTTCTCCACGCCTGGCAGGCGGGATGGAGATCGCATTTAACCTTTTGAGCGCCAGGGTCACAAATACGTGACAAGCGAAAACTGTCCCTGAGCGCCAACGACACAAATATGTGACAAAAACAGCGGTACATTAAAACACGAAATAAACTATTTAAACATTACTTTAATGCCTATTTATTTATATACCTGTAAAATAGAAGGTCCAAAATTTATTTATTTCCATAAAACTAATTAAATTGCATTATAAATATTGAGAAATTTTACGTTAAAAAGAAAGAAATAAACTCTGAAAAAAGAATGTCCTCACACGCCAGAGTCATAACTGCGTGACCGCTAGTGATGTAGCGCATGTTGGATAATATCATTATTTCAAATCAAAGATCGATTCGAAACTTTCCTCTGGAATATATTATTTTAGGTATAATTTGGTACTAGGATAAAGCAGCATTAATTTTATAAAACCAGTCTTAAAAATCATTTAATAAGCTACATAGTCAAAAATAAAATTTGGTTGGGTCGAATTTCGATATTCACTAATCCCAACTCAAGCGCATCCCTAACGCAACCCGAATTATCAGTACCCTGTACGCCATGGTCACAACTAGACGACAATATCGTGACGTCACAAGCGCGGCGACCAGAAATTAGTGAAGTGAATGAATAATATTTATGATTAATTTACTTGTGATATCGAGTTCAAGATTTATATTAAGTGACTATTATAATGAGTGGGAATTTAATGACTACGGAAGAAGAGCGAGAGTATTTGACTCGAAACTTTTATTCTAAGTGTGGGCTCCATATTTACCTATAACTTCGTGGAATAAAGTCTGCCAAAAGTTCCTTTTTTAGCCACGGTGCGCGCTGAGATCGATTTCACTGTCCCCACCACCCACTTTGCACCCAGCGAATTAGATGATCAGAATGCAGGTTGCATTGTACATTTTGTATAATTTAGTTCTATTATTCAAAAGATTTATTAGTATAAGACTGATTGGTAATTGTGATAATTATACATAATCGTTAATTGTTTTAATTTGTTACTTTTTATGCCAGGTTTATAGAACTTAATATTTAAAAACATGTATAGGTACATAGTACATACTGTATAACATTTTATTAAAATTTTCTATTTTTTCATAGATTTTATTTACCTTCTTAACCTATTTCAATCATATATTTTAAGTACCTGTTACATTCGGAATTATAAATCTGATTTAAAAAACGTGTTTCATTTATTATAAAATAATATTGTACTAGAACATCGATAAACGAGATATTACCTTGCCACATCCTTATTTCGGAAGCGAAGTAGTTATTAAAATGGCGGGCCGTCCACGCCATGGTCACAATATGAAGACAGCAGATCAAGAATAGTGTTGTACCCACAGTTATTATATTTAAATACTTATATTGTAGTCTCATATCTGTTATTACGGTATTATACAAGTCTGTAAATAGTGTATAACTATTACTTTAATAGGAAGAAATGTAATGTTGAATTAAATTTCAATGTTATAAGGACATTATATTTCGAAATTAAAGACGAAAATGAAAATAAAATTGATTATCGATGAAGTTTTGGAATCCCTATTTTTTTCGTAGGTATTTGCGGTAAATTTGTGGCCTGGCGTTGAGGGCAAGTTCATGCGTTTTTGCTCTGGCGTTCAAAAGGTTAAAAGTGTTAGGAGGATTAGGCCTCCTCCGTGGTTCCTTGGCCGGTTCTTACGTCATCCGCGGGAAAGGTAGGCATGATGACCAGGGCCGCTGGGGTCCCATAGGCACGTAATAATTCGGGCCCTCGCGTAATGTCTCTTTTTTAACGTTGCATCGTACTAAGATTTTTCCCTGTGTCGTGGGTTGATACACATGGCACACTCAGACCCAAAACAACAATTTGTGGATCACACAAAGATTTACTCCGTGGGGGAATCCAACCTGCCACATATTGCGGAGCAGCCGGTTGCGGCTCAACGTGTTGTGTTGCAAAGGAGCAGATTTTGGTGTATGTCCGTCGTAGAAATTATCGGTTCTTCGGGGCGCCCTGAGGAGAGGAGCCATGGGCACGGGCCCCGAGTGCCCTTGTGGTAAAGACGGTGAGTCGCGGAGAACCTAACGGGTAACCGGGGCTCTGGCTCGATGTGCAGGAAAAGGAACGGGGTGGTTTTTAGTCAGTAAGAGTCTGACAGTCCCTTCCGCTACGTGAGCGATCCACACGTGAGCAGTCATTCGATGATTTCCCCCCTTAAAAAAAATGGTAAAGACGGTGCTAGTGGTGACAAATGAATTGCAAATAAAAGAACTGAAATCTAATCCGTCAAAGTTTTATTCAAATACTGTATAAAATATCGTCCAATTTTACTCGTTTCTTCATTAGAATGGTTCATTTTAGCGTATGTTAAGAATTGCCGTCTCAACTTCAGTAGTTTCTGTGGGTTGACAAGTTGGGTGTTGCCAGCGTCCAAAACACAGCCTGGATAGTCTGGGAATTTTACTTCTCCATCCATATTTAGTTGTTTTGCTTCTAGAATCTGTTTTGATATTGCCTGTGTGACTTTATCAAGCTCGTATAGAAAGTTTGTTGATGTTAATGGGGCCTGAAAACGGTAGAAGAATATTAATTATAGATTTTTGGGTTTGCTCGGCTTGTTGGCAGAGTGTTCTCTGGGCAAGGGGTCTCCGGGAGTCGGGCAAAAAAAAATTGTAAGTAGCACGGAGTCTGGAATTGTGCCCGGTATATGGCAATAGGCTATTACATGGGACTCATTACAAATAGTGAAAAGTGGGTGTTACGTTGTGCAGCGGCATCAAGTGTCGTAATGTGCACCTCGGCCTACCGCTTTGGAGATAAAAGGCGTGATGTTATGTTATGTTTTGGATTTGCAGACGTAGTTAATTGATGATGGATAATTTTGTATTTTGTTCACAATCTTATTAATACTGGTCACATGTGCGACTGTTGAGCAAGGGATCTCCGGGTTTGATTGCCGAGTATTGCTGGAGTTTTTCGGTAATTCGAAAATTCCTCAGTAAAAGCACGAAGACTAAAACTCGAAGTTTTGAAACCGTGGCATTTCTCGGGGGCATGCCACAGAAGTCATAAAGGTTCAATGTGAGAGAAAATTTCGGGCCAATAGTTAAAAATACGTCTATAATAAAGTTTAAGTTCGACAGTATTTCAGAATAAGCGACAGCAACTTTTCATTGGAGTTTTATGGAATTAGGAATAATATCAATTACGTGTTTGAGATTGTGTGTGTTAAGTTACAAGACGGCAGCGTGTAGTTCGCACTTACGGATTTCCGTACTTTCAGAAAAATTAAAAATATTTACCTACAATTTTTTTATTGACTGGACTCAGAATCGATAGCCGAATTACCTCCTAGAAAATGACGCGGCTTTAAAACAGCACCTTGTATAATGAAGTGAGAGAAAGGATACAGTGTCTTCTTAAGAATTTAGAAGCAATTTCAATATACGTACATTCTGTGTGCTCATATTAGGTGGTGGTGGTTTCTTCTCAAACAGTACTTTGTACACATCTTCTAGGTTCATTTCGTCTGTAGGTTGTACTGTAAACAGTGGACTGTCCCATCTACTGTTCGAATTTGGCTCTTCAAACCTGGAATCGTAGCAGGTTTTTATACAAAAAAGTATTCGGACTGGGCAATCAACTGCAGTGCTAACATATTGCGAGTCCGCTTTCCACATAGAATACTCTTTATGTAATTCATTGTTGTTTTTTTTTTAAGGCTGGAACATCATTGAATAACTGCTCCCGCCTGTCTGAGGCGGGAGGGAGTGTCAGACTCTTGTCTAAAAACCACCCCGTTCCTTCTCCTGCACGTCCAGCCGGAACCCCGGTTACCCGTTAGGTTCTCCGCGACAATTCATTGTTGTTTAGAGTTTGGGTATAAATAACTCATTTTACCTCTAATATGTAAAAAAAAAGGTTTTTACACACAAAAATAGTCCCTAGACCCTTTAATCGTCGCGGAGAACCTAACGGGTAACCGGGGCTCCGGCTCGACGTGCAGGAGAAGGAACGGGGTGGTTCTTAGTCAGTAAGAGTGTCTTACTGACTAAAAATACCCAGGCGGGAGCAGACATTCGATGATTTTCCCCCCTTAAAAAAAAGACCCTGTAATCCCCAAGCAGTCACCAGAGACCTTATTATAGACCTCATTTCTGATGATTAAAGACTATTTTTGTATGAACAAATTTGGCGTACGATATTTCAACAGGTTAAAGGGTTAATAGAAGAATTAGAAAATTGCTTATGAATTGAAATAAAATATTAAAACTTCAAAGCTATTATTAAAGTTTTCGTTCTGTGTTTTTAAACTGTCAAACACCGCGAGGACACCGGTGACCGCAACCTATTGTTCTTTTACTCGGCGAGTACCGTATTTATTTATAGACACAATTAAAGAACAATAGGTTGCGGTCACTGGTGACCACTTGGTGTTTGACAGTTTAATTGTGTCTATAATGACGGTACTCAAAGGGTTAATTAGATAACCAATTTCTCACCTCAACCTTGACAATGCATTGAACACTTCCTCCGTGTAAGGTACAGAGGAGCTGTCCTCACCACTCTCCCTCTTCAGATTGTCCTCCCAGGCCTCATCATGGTTCCTTATAGTGTATACAGTACATTGTGTCGACTTTGATGCTTTCGACGCACAGTACAGTTCATAGCGGTAACCTGGAAGTTAGAATAGGGATGATGACAGGGTATGGAAATTAAAAATCTAATTAGTCCGTCAGTTAAGTAATGAAAAAATATTTGACACATATTTTTTATTTTGTCATACAAGAAAACAATATTTATTTAGATAAAACGAATTGTAGTTTAGGTTTTAGGTTAACGTCCCTAGAAGTGACGTCAGGCAATATTTCAAATCAATATAATATTGTCACAAGTATTTTGCTTCTGTTAGAAAACGAAAAATATGTGTCTACTAATTTAGTTTTAAAATAATCTACCAGACGGACATTAAAATAAATATTAGTCATCTACTAAACTAGTATAATAACTGAAATCTATAGTATCCCAGACAGTACAAAAAGACTACATTTGGTACAAAAAGTAGACTAAGCACCTGTTTCATCACATTACATAACATCACGCCTTTTATCCCCGAAGGGGTAGGTAGATGCAGTGATGTTTCACGTTTAAAAATGTACCCTCTAAAACTACTTATACTTAAGATCCTTCTAAACACTATTTAAACTGTCAAATACCAAGCGGTCACCGGTGACCGCGACCCATTGTTCTTTAATTGTGTCTATAAAACCGGTACTCGACGAGTTAAGATACAAATTGCAGATATTTTACTTAGCAATATATCAATATAACATTTTAAACACATTGATAAGTATCATAAACTTTTTTGTTGATTTACCTTTGATATAGTTACTTCCATCCAATATAACGACATTGTCCTTTCCTATAAGACGTAAAACCTCTGATTTAAGGTATCCTCTCACTCTTTTCTCCTTCTGTGAGTCCAAATATGTGGAATTTTTATCATAACCTAACTTCACGATCGCTTCATCTTCTGAAACCATTTCTACCTTTTTACCATGTTTATTTGCAAAGAAATCTCTCAATTCTATTGCTCTTGATGTTTTGCCACTCACAGGAGTACCACAAATTATAATTAAAGGCATTTTTTAATAAATAAATACGTATCACTCATGAAAACAATGTCGTGTTTATATCTTTCACTGTCAGTGTCACATATGGTTACAATACAAATGTCAATATCAATGTGACAGCGAATTTCATTTGCGTTTTGTTTCTTGTTGGATTTTTTTTTATAATTATATTCTTTTTATTATTTTTATTTTTTATAACTTCACGCCTGTCTTCAATTAGGGTTGGCGGAGACTAGGGAACGCAATTACTATGATTCCTACATACCTTTTTCGCTTCAACAGTCATCAATCTTTTCATGCATGCTCGTTGGTTAAGGGTACTTTTAATTTGGCCCTTCTTTAATCTATCGCCAATCTGGTCACTATGTGTCGAAAGAGTGATGGATGTAATTGACCATAAAATCTGGGATGTGCAAGCGGGATTTCCAAAGGGAATGGGGCTCAATGGGGTAAACTGATCAAGTATTTTCTTTACGGTGCATTACAGAGAAAGTCTTACATTATTTTCTTGTTCTTAAATTGTAACTTATTACTTAAGTTCTCAATTATGTTAGGAGGCTGGCGTTAGGTGGATGGATCAAGGGCCTGATACAGAAGGCAGTTCTCCTAGAAACGGCACGTATCGTGAGGAGGTTTCTGTCTCTGGAGCCCTAACCACCGGTAGCTTGGACCATGCTCCCGCTACTGGTCGGCTTTAATTTTTATATTTTTAAATATTATTTTTTATTTTATTAGTAGTATTTAAAAATGTAATTTGTAGAGAATCTACATATACTATAAAAGAAATTCGTGTTAGTTACACCACTTATAACTCAAGAACGGCAGAATAGATTTGGCTGAAAATTGGTAGGGAGGTATCAGGTAGCTTAGAGCCAGGAGACCGACATACGATAGGTACCTACTTTTTAACTAATTTTTTTTTTACTTTCTTCCGAAAATCACGAACGGAGACAGGAATAAATAGGATGGTACGCGTACGAAGTCGCGGGCAGAAGCTAGTTTTAAATAAATAAATAAATATAATATATAATTGTATTATTTGGAATTTTTGCAAGGTAAGCTTGTTTGCTTGTTGCTACCTTACTTTTTTCTGGGTGAAGGCATAAAAATAAAACACAGTTGTTTAACTTTTTTTTAACAATTGCACATTACTTAACTTTTAATAAATAATAAATAAATAAATTACAAGGGAGATCAAATCAAGAGATTAATGTTTTTTACATGAGAATGGAAATGGCAAGTCTCAGCGCGATCAGACTTTAATATGAATTTTAATTACCAGACTAGTTGCTAACGAAATGCCATGTTTAAATACACGGCAATTTGTGATTTCGGGGACAATTGAGTAATAATTAAAAAGAATTAACTTCTGGCAATTAAAATTCATAATCGATTTGATTGCTAACTTAAGATAATAACGTATATCTTTTAGATATACAAATATTAAAACGATTTGCACAAGCTTCAGTGTAAATAAGTAGACGGAGCTGAGAACCATAATGAGTTTAAAAATCTTATCTTGTCTGACAGTGGTGCCACAATCATAAATAGCATTTTTCCTGTAAGTATATATATTTGTGTCGTGGTGGCCCGGAGGTTTAAGACGCCCGCTTCTCACGTATGAGGGTGCAGGTTCGAAACCTACCAACGGCAAGTACCAATGTGACTTTTTCCGAGTTATATGTACCTACTTTCTAAGATTATTCTGACACCACTGACAAACGGTGAAGGAATAACATCGTGAGGAAACCTGGACTTATAATTTCTAATTATAAGTTTGAATTCGCCAACCCGCATTGAGCAAGCGTGGTGATTAATGCTTAAACCTTCTCCGTGTGAGAAGAGGCTTTGCTCAGCAGTGGGCATTTATAGGCTGTTGATGATGATGATATATATTTAAGCGAAAGGAACATTTAATTTTCCTTTCGTTCCTGGGATCAGGGGGCTTACTCTTGAATCCAGAATCCAATTCCGATTGATTGACATTGGTATTGTGAAATTTCGTACTCTTGAGTTGCAACACTAGCGCCCATTGCATCCGTATTACGCGGATATTGAATAAACTAAATGGTACTGATTTTGACTATACATTCCGTACTCCAAATGCTATTTTAACAGCTACAGCCACGATAGGGGTTGTATAGTGTTGACATTGAATAATTATTGAGATTTTATTCGATTGAAATTAGAGTAAGCACTCTGATCAGGAACTGGTAAAGAGTTCAGAAGTAGCCCGTCACAGTCCAATTTTTTTTTATATATTTGATGGGTCGACGTTTGACCATTATCTCACCTATTATTAAATTATGAGCTTTCTGGCTTCTCTACGAATCTGGGTTTGCGTATTATTGCGGATTGCACACTGCACACAGGTAATGTTAAAGGGTCCATGTTTATCAAAAAAAAAAGAAATGAAACATTACCCCTTGTGTGGCGGAACTCAGATCCACGTGATACACAATATATTTTCTATTGTGTCTTATATACCGGCAGTCATGAAGTTATTTTTTTTTATGGAATAGGAGGCAAACGAGCAGACGGATCGCCTGATGGTAAGCGATCAGCGCCGTCCATTGACACCTGCAACACCAGAGGAGTCCATGTGCGTTGCCCGCCTTTTAAAAAGGAATAAAACATAACATAACATCACGCCTTTTATCCCCGAAGGGGTAGGCAGAGGTGCACACAGAAGTAACACCCACTTTTCACTATTGATGTTATGAGTCCCATATAATAGGGGGTGAGCCTATTGCCATATACCGGGCACAATTCCAGACTCCGTGCTACTACTGAGATTTTTTTTAAAAACCCAGTAATATTTTGCCCGACCCGGGAATCGAACCCGAGACCCCTTGCCCGGCAGTCGCACTTGCGACCACTCGGCCATCGAAGCAGTCTAAAAAGGAATAATTATGCTCTTTTCTTGAAGGTTTGAAGGTCGTACCGGTTCGGAAATACCGATACAAGACAGATACCTTAAACAAGACAAGATTAATAAAACACACTATCAAAAGTCAATGTAGTTGGTGTGCTCGGAGACAACTCCTCGGATCCAAGTGCTGGTGACCTTCACGTTGTGGTAGATGCCAGGCTGATGGTCCACGCCGCAGCCGAAGCCAGCTGACGTAATACCCACTAGGTAGTACCGACCGTTGTCGGAAACTATTAGGGGACCTCCTGAGTCTCCTGGAAAAGAAAGACGTACCCGTTGAAATTCATCCCGTAAATTTGTTCATACAAAAGTAGTCTCTAAGCATTGGAAATAAGGTCTATAATGTAGGTAGTGGAGAGTGGTCAGCGGTGACCGCTTGGGGGAAATGTGAACTATGTTTTTTGTGTATCCATGTTTAAAACATACATATATAACATCACGTCTTTTATCGCCGAAGGGGTATGATTACGGCACTCTATGCCACTGTATAATGTTACACCAAATTTTACTATTTATATTATGAGACCAATGTAATAGGGGGGTGAGCCTATTGCCATATACCGGGCACATGTCCAGACTCCGTGCTACTACTGAGAATTTTTGAAAAACACAGTAACACTGCCCAACCTGGGAATCGAACCTGAAACCCCTTAGCTGGCAGTCGCACTTGCGACCATTCGGCCAACGCGGCAGTTCAATTTTTTTTTATTTATTACATGGAACTCAAAACATAAATAGTGAAAGTTGGTGTTACATTGTACAGTGGCATTAAGTGCCGTAATGTGCACCTCTGCCTACTCCTTCGGGGATAAAAGGCATGAAATTATGTAGGTAAATAAATAAACCAAAGTTACCTAAGCAAGCGTCCTGATGTCCGTCTGAATGTCCCGCGCAGATCATCTCAGAATGTATCTCCACAGATATCTGCTTGCTTCTATGCCAGTTGATGCATTGCTCTTTACCTGAAAGTTTCATAAACATTTTAATAAGCGTTCTTCAATACTGACGGCTTAGTTTAACTCGTCGAGTACCGGTTTTATAGACACAATTAAAGAACAATAGGTCGCAGTCACCGGTGACCGCTTGGTGTTTGACAGATTAAAGGCTCTTATCCTGTTCCCATAAGTCCTTTTTTTTGACAGGGGAAAATCATCCAATGACTTCGTCCGCCCGGGTGAGGCGAGAGGGAGTGTCAGACTCTTACTGACTAAAAACCACCCCGTTCCTACTCCTGCACTTCGAGCCGGAACCCCGGCAACCCGTTAAGTCTTCCGCGGCTCCGTATCGGCATCAGCCCTGTTAGGCCCCATCTGTGGTGGTCTGATGGCTTCCCATAAGTATCTAAGTATTATTTTTGCAAAGTAAAGACGATTTGACAACTTAAACTTTGTTTTTGCACTGTCCTTAATAGGGACATGCGCAACTTGTCGGTATATCATATCTCATCAGTGGAAAGTAAGATATTTAGATCCATAGGCTGATGTCATAATCACCAGCCATAAGTAACTATTGTCACATTATTCGACAAAAGCGCCATTTGGCTAACGCAAAACCTGAATCTCTCACTGTGGGCGACGATTCCCTTGTTTCTTGATTCCAATTATCTAAAACCTCTAAACTAATCTTTGTAATTCTTGTGTATCATCAACGATTTTGATACCGGCAGCTACGATTTCCTTAAAATTTTGTATTCAGCAGCTGTAGCCAAACGCCATTTAGCGCTTGTCTACATATAGAATAGAAAATCAAATTATATGGAATTGACGTAAATTTTGACACTTGTCAGTGTCATCCCCATACATTTTGATTTCTACTCTCTCTGTAGACAAGCGTTAAAGTGGCGTTTGGCTAAAGGTACAGGGGATTCCGGTAGCGATAAATCGATACGACGATGACATTTTCTAAAAAAAACACTGACCAAATCTATGTCATCCAGGTACTGTAAATAAAATACTACTTACTTAAAATAGGTACAGTAGCCGACCGCAACATATTAGTGCCTGTGTGTCCAGTACTTGCATCTGTCTTCCCCCAACCAGCGATCACTCCGGCTCTCCCTCTCAAATCCATATCCCTCTCTGGCAGGCAAATTGGCAGGATATGAGTTGTATAGATTATCGGACGGGATAATTTCAAAAGGGCTATGTCATAGCGGTCCGGTTGAGTCATCCTGAATTGAAAGAGTGGATGCAGGATTTTTTGGACGACCCTAAAAATAAAGAGGATACATAAGTCAGTGTATCGTCTAGCTAGATTAGCATGTGTGTCTCCTGGACAGTCAATCACGCTACTTTTTTTTTATTGCACAAGCCGGTAAACGATCAGACGGATCACCTGATGGTAAGCAATCGGCGCCGCCCATGGTCACCCGAAATACCAAGGCGTTACAAGTGCGTTATCGGCCTTTTGGGAATTGGGAATTTGAGGATTGTGGAGGATTTGGGGATACGGGAGACTAGGGAGGTAATTGGGCCTCCGGTAACCTCACTCACACGACGAAACACAACGCAAGCGTTATTTCAAGTCGGTTTTCTGTGAGGCCGTGGTATCACTCCGGTCGAGCTGGCCCATTCGTGCCGAAGCATGGCACCTCACACTTAAACTTCACTTACTTTCAGTTGACTGGACAATCTCTTTACATAAGTCACTGTTTACATGTAAACATTTAGCTCACGACGATACCCAAGTGCCTGTGTCGCCTGGGCAGTCATTCTCACAGTACTATTAGTTTACTAGGCAATATAACATAATATAACATCACGCCTTTTATCCTGGAAGGGGTAGGCAGAGGTGCACATTATACCACTGTACAATGTAACACCCACTTTTCACTATTGATGTTATGAGTCCCATGTAATAGGGGGTGAGCCTATTGCCATATACCGGGCACAATTCCAGACTCCGTGCTACTACTAAGAATAATTAAAAAACCCAGTAATACTTTGCCCGACCCGGGAATCGAACCCGAGACCCCTTGCCCGGCAGTCGCACATATGACCACTCGGCCAACGAGGCAATATGTGCTAATTTTTACACGTAAAAAGGTGTAGCTTGATTTGCCTACCCAAGCTTCCTAGCAGTGTGAGCTCCAGCACTAGTGTCCAATGCTCCCAGCCACACAGCGATGTCACGAGGCCGAGCGCGGGACACGCAATGAGCTGCTGTTGCCACATACCATCGGGATACTGGAAAAACATAATATCGTCGGTGTTAAAGACTATGTTGTCAAAGTCAAAGCATTTATTTCAGTTAATACTAAATTAGGCACTTTTGGAACCTCAAGCATTGAATTGTCCGTTCGTCTGTCTATCAGGTCTATCAGTGAAGCTAGGTTGATAAGTGGTACCTACATATTTATTTCCATTACTGGTTTTTAGGTCAATAAAAAGTGACATAGAATTGTTCTTCCAAAAATATCATTAGTATACTGACTGAAGTGCTTCTCATGTATGAGGGTGCGGGTTCGAAACCTACCAACGGTAAGTACCAATGTGTTTTTTCGGAGTTATATGTACTTTCTAAGATTATTTAGACACCACTGACAAACGGTGAAGGAAAAACATCGTGAGGAAACCTGGGCTTATAATTTCTGATTATAAGTTTAAAATCGCCAACCCGCATTGAGAAAGCGCGGTGATTAATGCTCAAACCTTCTTCGTGTGAGAAGAGGCTTAGCTCAGCAGTGGGCATTTAAAGGCTGTTGATGATGATGACTGACTGAAGGGTTAAAAAACTCCTTTAAAATCATTTCATGCCTTGGTAACAGTCTTTAACCCACACCAAAGTTCTACTTGATTTGTAAGTAATGCGCCTGCCACACACTCGACGAGTGGTATGGGAAGGAGGAAAGGAGGCAGATATATAGTGTGGCAATAATACTCGTCATGCTTCTCGTCTTGCCCACTGCTCCCTATTTTGACATCGGCAATATGAGGACCGGTATAGCAATAGGAGCGTCGTAATTAATTGTGTGGGCAAATAGGGCAACATCGCGGCAAATCCCACCAGTGCGAGGAGTAAAGCGGCGATGAGCAGCGCGGAACATAGTCTGGCAAGCGCGTATGAGAAAGGGTGTTTTTCATGCTATCAGATCTAATTAGGATCGCCAGATAGAATAAAATGCATAGAACAGAAAAATGTTATATAAATATACTAGCGGACCCAACAGACGTTGTCCTGCATATCCACTTGAATGTATAAACAAAAAATCATTCAAATTAGTTCAGCTGTTTAGGATAAATATCGACCTAAATATCGACTGCAGCGCCATCTGCCGGGCTGATTTGTAAATCTAAAGCATTCCCACATTTTAAACACACACAAAAAATTTCATCAAAATCGGTCCAGTCGCTTGAGAGAAGTTCAGTGACATACACACTCACAGAAGAATTTTATATATAAAGATAACTACATACCCAGAACACCTCCACATTGGAACTCTGAGATTCTGACGTGTGCCTGCCACGGGAACTCAGCGAAGCGCGCCTCCCGCCCGCCTATGATGCGCTTCTGTATCATCTTCGTTGAAGACAGGCCACAGTCTACCTGGAAACCGTTTGGTGAGGGGTTACAATAATTTTGGTTTTGTAAAGTATGATATTTTAAAGAGAAATTTTGAAAATCAAAAATCTTCTAAGGTGTCAAGTTCCATAGTCAAATTAGAGATGTAGTTTGACAGTTTTTTAAAAATTAATGCCTACCTAACAAATTTCCGGTATAAATCAAAAGGTCTCGGTTGAATGAAAGCATTTTACCTAGACGAATGCTATTTTCAGATCAATCGTTATTAATTACTCGCTTCTCTACCTGCGACTTCGTACGTGAAATCACGTATTTTTTTCGCAAATTTTATTTTTCCACCTTTCAAACGTTCCCTGGACTTCCACGAATATTCCAAGATCAAAATTAGGTAAATCGGTTCAGACGTTTTCGAATTTTAGCGAGACTGACGACCAGAGGGATTAGTACGAGTTTCTTTTTCGTTTAGTAATCGAAACGAGACGGCGTCCGGCGCTCTGATTGGTTTGTTCGTTGGAGCCGACCAATCACAGCGCCGAACGCGTACTCGTTACGATTACTTTAAACAAAAAAGAAACTAGACGTGAAGACGTAACCAGACGTGAAGACGTAACAAACAAACAAATTATTATAAAGTATCAAATTAGGTTACTCCAGGTATGACATACTAATTTTTGGGTTGCTATACTGATATTTTTTAAATTTGCCGGGCTTTTTCAGTCTCTACTTTCGTTTGGTAGACTCTAGATTATAATTAGTTCAATTCCTCACCTGCCCAACATCATCGTCAGCTCTGCGCCGGAACACGTTGGTTGGCACCACGCTGCGTTGTGGCACCTGCCGCAACTTCGGGGGCACCACCTTGTACTTCCAGTCGGATGCCGGTATACTGCGGAGATAGAACATAGACCTCACTTCCAATGTAACAGACCTTTTCTTATGAGGATACATCATCATTTTTTTTTGTGGCAGAGCCATGATTCGGCACGAATGGCCGGCTCGACCGGAGTGATACCTCGGCCTCACAGAAAACCGACGTGAACGCTTGCGTTGTGTTTCGTCGTGTGAGTGAGGTTACAGGAGGCCCAATTACCCTCCCCTTCCCCAATCTCCCCAATTCCTGAATCCCCAACGATCCTCAAACTCCTAATCCCCAAAAGGCCGGTAACGCACTTGTAACGCCTCTGGTGTTCCAGGTGTCTATGGGCGACGCCGATTGCTTACCATCAGGTGATCCGTCTGCTCGTCTACCGGCTTATGACATAAAAAAAATCATCCTACACTGCGTGGGGCAGGAAAATGCCCAACTTTTAAAGACTAAATACCATCACCACGTTCTATTTCCCGCTTCACCACGATACATGGCTAGCCTCCCCCGCAGCCCCGGCAGTGTGTGATTGATCAGATATTCGTCTTTATTACATGACGCTATTGAAAGTCGTGTTAGTCGAGTTATCATAAGGGCTATATTCGACCCAGAAATCGCGGTTTCTTTTTATGGGATGAGAAAATTGTATAACTTATACTTACAAGGTTTCTTGATGTAATTTAGCCATCTTTAGCGATAGAATATATCTATGTAGGTAGTTAAAACTATTCAAAACACGAAAAAAGCTGCTCCAAAGTCAAAGTCAAAGCATTTATTGCAATCAATACTTAATTATGCACTTTTGAAACGTCAAAAATTAAAATGTCCGTCCGCCTGTCCATCAGTGAAGGTAGGTGCTCCAATTTCACCCACCTGTTGTCCAGCACATCATTTCTGGTTGGTTCAGCAGGCACACAGCAGGAGAACAGCCAACTACCTCCACAGCCTCGCACCCTGGTCCCTCCTCTCAACCAGCAGGTCAGGGAGAGAGTACAGGGTCGGACCTCCGAGCCTAGGTTACAGGAACTTGGGTAGCCTAATATAGAGGCTAACACGCGACTTGTGAGCGCTGGAACAGAAGCATATTGTATGGTTAACGTATAATCTATATATATAAAAGAAAGTCGTGTTAGTTACACCACTTATAACTCAAGAACGGCAGAACAGATTTGGCTGAAAATTGGTAGGGAGGTAGCTTAGAGCCAGGAGACCGACATAGGATACTTTTTAACCAACATCTTATTTTTTCCTTTTTACCAAAAATCACGAACTGGGACGGGAAAAAATGGGATTACGCGTACGAAGTCGCGGGCAGAAGCTAGTTAGATATGTAAATGTGATGCAACCTACCTATGTACGATATGTTGCCCTGTATCATAGGCGTTTTCACCAACCACTCTCAAATCTCTTAACTAAGAGTTACTTGCCGTGAGGGAGCATCTAAACTAACCCTTTACCTATATTTTTGTGTCATTTAAAGGTTGATGAAAACCTCCTTTGATATTAGCTTAGGAGTTCCCTAAAATTTATGAGAGGTTGGTGAAAACGCGCTAAAAGTCACCCCATCACGGGAATCTAACTCGACTCGACCTATGAAGTAGTCGAATCAAGACAATACTTGTTTACCACTCAATATCAAATAAATATTTAACAATTTAAACTTACATTCGCCACCAACACCGCCCGTAACATTTAAAATAAAGAGCGGAATCAGCCATTTGCTGGGCCGCCATCTTGTGTCCCGCGTATTCTTCCTCCTTTGAATGACGTCCTTTTGTCTATGGTGCAACGTTTGCCGCCATGACACGTCATGTTTCACCGTTGACATGGCGGTATCCCGCGGCAGTGGTTGGACATAGCGTGTTCTGTGACTTCGCTTTCGTTTAATATTTTATCTGGAAAGAAAAAAATATTGTTTTTAATAAATTAAATAATGTTTATTTCGAACAAGAGATACATCCATAGGGCTTAGTAAGAAAAATGTTAAAATCATAATAACTATGTTAGTACCTATTTTGTTACAATCCTACTGTTGGGAATACATCTTCGGACGGTACCATGTATTATAGGTGAATCGTACCTCCCTGCAATGGTTTTCAGAATGGAGTTGGAACTGGTCCGTGCCCTACAGAGCTGCGATGCAGACTTCTGTCTGATGATGGCATGAAAGTCGTGTGCTTGAGTGAACATGCCAGATGCACTGCAGAAACGGGGCAGTCCCATCAACATTCTGAATCCATTATTATATTGGACTCTACCATCAGGTGATCCGCCTGCTAGTTCACCGGCTTATACCAGCAATATTATACCTTGGTCGGGCCAGTAGCCAAACAATGGTACCTGTCTCTGTACTAAGTCAATCTTCATTTATGCAGCAGCTCTATGTTTCCTAAGGTATCCAAGAATATGATTGAACAAAAGTATTATTATTTATTTTTTTCTTAAAGAAAAGGTTTCCCCACACTAGAATTTTCTCCTGTGTCGTGGGTGCGTTTACAAACATACAAGTTCACATACACATGACACCCAGACCCGGAACAACTATCTGTGGATCACACAAAGAGTTGTTCCGAACCCGCGACACGTTGCGCGACAGCCAGTTGCCCAGCCACCGCGCCAACCGTGCAGTCAATAATAATATAATCTGGTTAAAACGAAAGTCTAGTATAGTCTAGCAAATCGATAAGTAACCATGGCCTCGTCTCAGAGCAGGAGTAGGAACGGAGTGGTTTTTTATCAGTAACAGTGATACTTCTTGACATCTCACCCGGACGGGAAGAGTCATTTGATGATTTCCTCTCCAATAGAGAGATTCTGTAACATATTAGGCTGGATGATTCCACAAAGAATTTAACAGCTTTTTTTTAAGCTTAACCTCCCAAAACCGCTGCAACTCCTGTAAGCCAGGATCTACAGTAGATACAACCATGAAAACACCGGAACATTGAAGTCCGGCGCGTCCCAGGGACATAAGTAAATAAAAGGAGAAGAAGAAAAGAGGAGAAGAATTAAAGAAGAAGAATTGAACAGCTGAGAATATTGGCGGGAACGCGGTACGTTTTGAAACACGCTCACTCGCTCAACGTTTCGGTGGCGACTGTTGGCACGAGCGCGGAGCCCGCTCGAGCGAGGCGTGGGCGGGGCATCGAATTTTGAATTTTAGCGCGAAAGCGAATACACTACGTTACCACCATTTTTCTTATTGCGCTACAAAAGGAGGTTTTAAACATAAGAGTTGCCTACAGGTTCTTTTAAACATCTTAATTATAATTTGTCTTATTTTGTAGCTGCCTAATTAACTAGCGCTGGCTCTATAATTTCTGGGGGAAAGTGTCATGCGTCACTTCTCTTTTAGGCCTCGACCTGACTGCTTGTAACAGATGTGTATTAAATGTAAACATTCCTTATTGAATATCATGCTATTATATTACATTGCTTGTCGCTATTATAGGTGCTACTTCGTCTGATCGGGGCTGCAGATGACCTAGCGGGTCACCAGGGTGCTTACTCTTGAAACCAATCTCAATGTCAATGCAATTTCAATCCAATAAAATCTCAATAATTATTAAATGTCAAAACTATACAACCCCTTTCATAGCTGTTGCAACAGCATTCAGGGTACGGAATGTAAAACCAAACTCAATACCATTTAGTTCATTCAATATCCGCGCAATACGGATGTAATGAGCGCTAGTGTTGCAACTCAAGAGTACGAAATTTCACAATACCAATGTCGATCGGTCGGAATTGGATTCAAGAGTAAGCCCCCTGGGCTTTGTTTATTTATTAAGTGTAGGTATTACAGGAATATTTTAAATGAGAAAGTTTCTATCTATGGATGTTTGTCCGTCAATCACGCTGAAACTATAGAACGGATTTTGATGAAATTTGGTATGGGCTGACTTAGGTGATAAGATATTTTATCCTGCTCCCATGGGATAAAACAGGAATCATATTCTACATGGACAAAGTCACGGGCAACAGTTAGTAATCTATACAGTTTTTGCTAATGGCAATGTAATAGAGGCTTAGAGCTTGTAAATTATTTCTAAATCAAACCCACAGACTTAATTTGTCCGACCTGGACATAGAACATAGGACTTCCTCTTTGATAGTTTTTTTATACTATATTATAATATAATATACTAGCTGAGCCCGCGATTTCGACCACGTGGAATTATAATTCACAGCTCTTTCCTCTGTAATTGATAGCATAATAATAATATGTAGCCTATTATATGTTGACCCAACCTGTTAGTAATATTCATGCACAATTTGAAATAAAGCCATACAGTACTTTTTGAGTTCATCCCGGACATACATACAGACAAACAGACAAGAATTCTAATAACCATATTTTTGGTTTTGATGTCAACTGTAGATCACGCCCAAAGAATTCTTTAAAAAAAATATTCGATGTACAGTTTTCACTTTCCTACGATTTTATTATATGTGTATAGATTATGACATTTTATTTACTACCTACTAGCGGATCCGGCACACTTCGTACCACTTAAAAATATTTTTTCACCTATTTAAACCTCCCCTGGACTTCCACGAACATTTCAAGACCAAAATTAGCCAAATCGGTTCAGCCGTTCTCGAGTTTTAGCGAGACTAACGAACGGAAAATCATTTTTATTTAAATACTAGCGGACTCAACAGACGTTGTCCTACATATCCACTTGAATGTATAAACAAAAATTCATTTAAATTAGTTCAGCCGTTTAGGATAAATCACCTAAACATCGACTGCAGCGCCATCTGCCGGTCTGATGTGTGAATCTAAACCATTCCCAGATCCCCTTGAACACACAAAAAAATTCACCAAAATCGGTCCAGTCGTTTGAGAGAAGTTCAGTGACATACACACTCACAGAAGAATTATATATAGAGGTATAAAGATAGAGATATATAGATAGATCATTAAGTAACATCAAATACGCTATGTGCATACGCATGGTTGTATTTTAAGATATTCGACTTGAATGTAAAATTGGCCTGCCGTTGGCTGAGTGGCAAGTGCGACTGCCGGGCAAGGAGTCGGGTTCGATTCCCGGGTCGGGCAAAGTATTACGGGGTTTTTTAAATAAAATCTCAGTAGTAGTACCGAGTCTAGAAATGCGCCCGGTATATGGCAATAGGCTCACCCCCTATTACATGGGACTCATAACATAAATAGTGAATAAGTGGTAGTCTAAGATCCGGCTGCAGAATCAGTGTACCCATCGAGTGTTTGCTGAAAACCAAATTTTTACACATATTCATGATTAGGAGAATTTATATCCACCAGGTTGCCTATCAAAATGTGGCCGCTAGTATTTTTAATTAAATTATTAATAATTCATAATCCGTAAGAAATTTCACTGACTTTTTTTTTCAATGAAATGTCGTCTACTTCACGGCAACATCTATAAAGACTCTGAAAAATTATGGTTGCCGTTGCGCACCTGGCCGCACCTCTTCGCAGCCAGGTATACACAGGTATGAATTTGTTACATTTATACACCCACAACGTACATTTATAATTTATATATCAAATTAAAGCAAATTTTTTTCTGTATATTATTATATACGGTTGCATAATTAAATCTGGCCGCCAATAAGGGTTGCTGGCTAATAAATATAGTAAATATTAAAAGTAGAGTGAAAGAGAGCTAGCGCGTAACACCACTAGTCACTAGGTACGACTCAAAATAATAAATACTCCAAAAGAAACGTCTTTCTTTTCTAAAATAAAAAATTAAAAAGTCAGCGACAAATTTAAAAATTACAAAAAAAAATGAATATTGATGATAAATAAAATCAAGGTTACTTATGTAAAAAAATTGTGTTGTACAAGTACTGTATGAAAAAAGATTTAATTTTATTTAAGTATTACATTTATTTTACATATTCATCAATCATCAGTTTTACCTTCAAGCGGGCGCGTAGTCATTTATAACGGGAGCAGGCGCGCGTAACCGAAAAGACCTATGGGATTAATAAGAGAAATAAAGCACTAATTATTCAATATTTATTTATTTATTTGTACTCAGATTTATTATCATTGTCTTTAAATCGTAATTTGTCAAAAAAAAGTAATTATTTTCATGAAAAACAAACAATTATTAGATTAATTAACATAACTCAAACATTATACAAATCAAATCAAAAATTAGGAACACAAACCCCTTTTTATATATCTAAGACTAGTTTATATACCTTATCTAATAACAAAAATTACGAATTATGAATACTAATAATAATTAACTTTGGTTTGGTTTTTTTAAAATTATAAATTTTTAAAATGTATTATATTTGTATTATACTTCCATGACTCTTTTTTAAAAATCTAGTACATTGCATTTTTTGTCGCACAGGAAACACGCCTTCATCCTTATAAATTTTATTTCACTTAAATGAGATTGATAATTTTTCGATGCACAAATAAAACAGCAATTTTTTTTTGATTCGTTGACAACACTAACATCTGACGCATGCGCAATGGCTTTAAACCGTCTGACAGCTGGCAATCGCTATCCTCGTCTGACTAGTGGTGTTACGCGCTAGCTCTCTTTCACTCTACTTTTAATATTTACTATATTTATTAGCCAGCAACCCTTATTGGCGGCCAGATTTAATTAAGCAACCGTATATAATAATATACAGAAAAAAATTTGCTTTAATTTGATATATAAATTATAAATGTACGTTGTGGGTGTATAAATGTAACAAATTCATACCTGTGTATACCTGGCTGCGAAGAGGTGCGGCCAGGTGCGCAACGGCAACCATAATTTTTCAGAGTCTTTATAGATGTTGCCGTGAAGTAGACGACATTTCATT